ATTGGAGAATGTGGCACTGATACTAAGACAATATGGCCGCCCTGTCATTTGCACCCTTGGAGTGATCTGCAGTCTGCTGTCTATTGTCGTGTTCAGTAGAAAACTGCTGCGCACTACACCAACATGTCTACTGCTCCTTGCAGCGGCCTGTGGCGACTTCCTCACCACGCTGAATGGGTACGTCCCCTGGCTACAGTATGATGTTCAGGACCCTTCCTTTCAGCCGCTCAATGGCACTGAGTTCGTGTGCCGGCTGTCTGTGTTTGCGTGCTACTTTGGACCCGAAGTGAGCGCGCTCCTGCTTACGTCCATGGCGTTGGAACGTTACATCAGACTCGCGAGGCCCATGGTTCACGCTTTATACCTCACCGTCAGTAGAACACTGATCTTCATTGGCGTCTTAGCTTTTGTTCTTTTTTCTCTGAACATTTACATATTTTTTTCTGATATATATTTGAAAAGGGGCGATGGGAATAACACGGTTTGCTGGAATGTGTTCCACGACAGCAAGGCTTTACTTAGGAATAAGACAGACGCTGCCTACTGGCAAGTACACAGATGGATAGCGCTAACGTTGTATTGGATCATCCCCTCAGCATTACTGCCCGTCTTTAACATTGCATTCATTGTGTCTTTAAAGCGGCGTCTGAAGGAGCAACGCCCAAGTGAAGAACCGCGGTCAAGTTTGAACCAAGATTTGTTAGCGGTAATGGGATCCACTGAAGACCCCAGTGGGGAAGATGGTGACCCCGATAAAGAGGTCACGGTGATGTTAGTGACGGTCACAGTGGCGTTTATTCTGTTAACCAGCGGGTTTAACTTGGTGCAGGTGGGTCTGTTAAAGCTTTTCAACCCTGACAAACCTACGACACAAACGCCAGTTAATAGTTTAGTATTCACGGTCTTCATCCTGCTGTTCTACCTGAACCACGCCTTGAACTTCTTCCTGTACTGTTTCAGCGTGCGGACGTACAGAAAGGAATTTTACGACCTATTTCGCAACCTGCGTCGTACTTCCAACTCATAAAAGTCTCACTCTTGCCAGTGGAGCCCGTACGTCAATTTGTTTCATAACAAGTTGATTTCTTTTGTCAGAACTATCCATAGGACAAAATGGACAAAGTTAAATCATACCTACTGACAGCAATTATTTCGTTTGTTTTCGCTAAGAATGGTTTTGTAATTAGTTATGTAATGGCAGAAATTCCTTCTCAAATGGTCTTTTTGTCAGAACGATATATATGTGCATGTTATGGACAGAGTTAAATAACATCTAACATTTATTTCATTTGTTCTCAGTAAGAATGGTTTTGGGAATAAATACATGTATATTGTGACAGACATTCCTTTTGGAAACATATCAGAAGTTTTGATTCTAAGCCCCTGGTTCACGAAATGTGCCAGGCGAGTTAAAAAAATTATGCCAATTCATTCTTGCAGTATCATCATACTAGAATTAAATGCATGTTTTCATTGTATCAATTTATTACAATTGATAAGTCAACAAATTCTCCAAAGGAGAAATGATGTGCAAAGAAATGCCGTGTTAGTGACGATTCTACTTCACAAACATGAAGCTCATTTCAGTGTTAAAATTACTTTCCTGCTATTTCATATGTTTTAATATGCCTTTTTGTGTTGTTTAAACGTTAGTGAGTGAAGTTTTTATTGCATCATAAATAAATTCAAAGTTTCGCGAGCAACAGAATTTTTTTTTATAACATAAATAAATTCCAAGCGTGTCACTGGATTCCGTGGCAATTACTCATCAGGGCTTTAATGCTTTAATTAACAAAGTGACAACTTTTGTGAGCACTATCATTATGTGTGAGATAATACACTGTCACCCGAGCGATATATGCCATAACACCTCGAGCGTCAGCGAGAGGTGTTCATGGCATATATCGCGAGAGGGTGACAGTGTATTATTTGACATACATACCGAAAAAAAATACAGTCATTTCATCCTAAAACACCCCTAAAACCGAATAAAGTGACCCTATATCACGCTCTAGAGATGTTATACGGAATAAACTCGTCCACGTGCGCTGGTCACCTCTCGCCAAATTCTTACGTAATGTCTGACCAATTTGGTCAATTTTTGATAAATACTTGTCGTGGACGTTCATTTGCTTGAAAAGTATTCAATCAACCGTCGACATTGACCATGCACGTCTCAGCTGAACCACACCTAGCTGGAACTGTTGCGGAAAAAAGGTCCCAAGGCAAAACCTCTACTTTTTAGTGACATTTCTGATAAAAAAGGAGCGTCGGACCGGAATATAGTCAAACTAATTTTTCACAAGTGCAAAGGAGAAAGAAATTTACTTTTTGGTGATATTTCTGACAACGAGGCAGTTTCGGAATATAGTCAAAATCGACGGATATTTATTACAAGTTCACGGGAGCAATAATTCTAGTTTTATTGTTATCACTGACGACGAGGCGGTTACGGAATATAGTCAAAATCAAACGGATGTTTATTTCAAGTCCACAGGAGTAATAATTCTACTTTTTGGTGACATTTTTTACTACGAGGTGGTTTCGGAATATACATGTGCTGGTTTTCAGAGCATTCATGTAATTACAAGTTCAAAGGGGGAATACATTTGATTTTTACCGATATATCTGATAAAGAGGAAGAATGAACAGCTTAAAAACAAAAGGTAAATAACACAACCCTCGTTAAAAAGTTATAGATTTACAAATAATTTGTATACACGTGTGGCTTAAATGTAAACTAATTCCCGTTTTCAAACCATACCCATATGACATGACTTAGTGTAATAAAATGATAAATAATAATTGTTAAACGTGAAAAGTTTATGCTAATTTTTTTAAGAGTGTGAGAGATTTTAAATTTGTCTACTGGTAGGTATATAACGTAAGCAACGTCACTATTCTCTTGATTCCAAGAAGGTCACATGATCACTGTCTTTGGCTTTCAGCATTTAAGAGACCTTGACTGATTTAACCTAAGATCTAATAAACGGTCCGTTTATTAGATCTTAGATGTAGTCGTGGAATTCTAGACTACATCGAGGTTAAATCCGAGTTTTCCGAGAGACGCTACGCAAAAATGTCGAGTGAAGCGAGACATTTTTGGGTAGCGGCTTGAGGTTGCCCTCGATCTTCACTGAAGCTTGGCTAAATGGACAGGCTTCAGTGATCATCATATCGCCACGGTCATATAACATCCCTAGGTATGTATATTCATATTAAGCATTACTGGCTTACTGCAAAACAGTGAAAGATGGCATAACATGTACGTGTACCACCATAATAACAGCACAATCTTTTCTGTCTTAGTGCCCTGCGCTCTAGATAGCACTCTCCCATTAGATTATCTGTTCTCCCTTTTCCTTCTTCAATCACCCCTCCAATCAGCATACTTGTTCCATATTGGTTTTTTCAAGAACCTATCAGATTGCATGTACTTCTTGACTGTAGGCAGCGCCTGAAATGTAAACATGAAAGTTACCTCAGTCCACGTCCTAAAGAGACATAAGACAGAATGCGCAGTAAAATATTCTAACTGGATATATGTCCGACTGTCCATGAAATACGCTGGACATTCAGTGGGGCAAAAAAATCAAAGCTTTACATACTTTCCATAACTTTATTTATAACTGTATTTATACCCTGTTGTAGTACAAGTGTTGCAGAATGTTAGTGCTGATGACAACATTTAAATTCAGTCCCAAATACCGTGTATTTGTCAGTTGTTTTGAAAAAGACATTAAGCAATGCATAAAAGTTTTTAACAGCAACAAAAACGGATATTAAAAACCAATAATTATTTATTTCTAATGGCGCTGGACAACAACAACAACAGTAACAACAATAATAATAATAATAGGTACTAGTACTAGTAGTAGCAGTGGTGGTGGTGATAGTAGCAGAAGTTTAAGCAGCAGCGTCGAAAGGATAACGATAAAATTTAAAAATTACCACTTAACAGAGGGAAAGTGTGTTTAACACGTGAATAAGTAGTTTATACAACGTTTCAATCAACTATGAGCACGATGAATATACGAGGGCCATGAAGGACACACGGGTCATCTGGAAGATAATTGTACACTAACACGCCTTACCCTCTTCAAAAAAGTGTATTGTTATAGTGATTTCATTATTATTAATATATAAAAGGTAATTTTGCTGATTACCTTGTTGTGTAACAGAATCATAACCTAATCATTATTTTAAGTTGTAAATTGCATGTATTTTATAATTTGACTGAAATTAGCCATGATCAAAGGTTTTATTTTCAAGGAGGTACATTTCTATGGGAATTGTAAGCCTATTTAAAAATTTTTTGGTTTCTTATCCAAGCAACTTTTACGTTTTTAATATTAAAATATTGGATATTAAAAATTTTCAACAAGTGCATTTTGGTTGTGAAAATACTATTGCAATTTTGTAGGGAAGAAACTTTATTGAGGTAATTATTGGCTGTTCAATGATCATGTTTGAATTATAGCTGTGAAAATCTTTGACCTCAAAAGTCTTCACTTTAAACAATGTCCCCATTAGAGGTATTAATATTATTTAATGCCAAAGAATTAATTATATATTAACAAGTTTTACATTGTATTTGATATCTTATTAACATTGGATTATCTACATTACCAAGCCGGAAACTTTGTTTTAATTGTCTTTTATCTATAAGAACAGTTTCATCTTTAAAATTCATTATCTGAAATTAGAAAATGTAGTTAGTGAGAATGGCATGACAACACTTTCAAAACCGAAAAACATATTTTATCGTATTATGAATTGTTTTTGAAGGAGAATGTAGAACACGATTTAGTAATAGTCATATCAGGGATCGTTTGATCATAGTTCTTATAGATACTTGAATCCCCGTCACATGAGTAAACCTTTGCCAACATCCTCCTAATACTGACGACAGCGACAGCTATAAATGTGCAGCTCTTCTGTGCATTTTGGTTTTAACTCGTAATTTTTTGGGTGTCAACTTCCTATAATACTTTCATAAAATGGCTTGGTGGATTCCATACCTGTCTTTGCTAATTTTGTTAGTAACTGTAGTAGACAGCCAGTTAGAGGTCAACATTACAACCGGTACAATACGAGGTTTCAGCAAAACATTGAACGGGAAAACTGTGAACGAATATTTCGGCATTCCATTTGCCAAACCTCCAGTTGGGAACCTTAGATTTGCAAAGCCCCAGCCTGCGAGCAGGTGGACGGGCGTGTTGAACACTACGGCGTATGGTCCGGCTTGCATGCAGAGACCCAACCCTTTTGGATTTCCTAATCCGAAACACGTGAGTATACAAAGTTTACATACCACCGCATTTTACAATAGAACTTTAAAGTTATAAGCACATTCAGAGGTTTTTTTTTTTTTTTTTTTTTTTTTTTTTTTTTTTTTTTTTTGACATCGAAAATGATATCTGTAATGCCAACATCCAGAAACGCAAATCACTTACTGGTACATGTGCGAACAGCAGAGGGTAGCAAATTGAAAATTTACAGTTATATAAAACCAGACTTTGGAAAAACGAAAAACAGTATTGAAAAACAATGTCGCGTAATATATGATTATATTTTTTCGGTTAAATCCATATATACATTCCTTCTATGTTGCCCAAAATTTACAAATCTCTATATATTCATCATATGTTGTATATAATGGAAATGAATAGATCTATCTTGTTTATGTATGATTTATTTTCATTCATTTTACAACTGGGATAACAACTGTTCGAATGAGATTAATATTTTACAAACATTGTAAACAAGTTATAGAAATAAATATCCATTCAAAATAGCGGCTATGGCAACCATTCTGGATTCTGTGCTTGGCATCAGATCACGTACACCTTTATACAGGGCACTGCCTCTGTAATAAGAGATTATAACAAACCTTTAGAAAAAACATGAAATAAATCTGAATGTCGGAATGAATTCATAAACCACGGGAAAGCGTCGTTTACCCTGGAAAATCCGTTCATTGACCAAAACAACCGGTTCTCGTTTTAAAATCATCTGAGATTTGGAATTTTAACTTAAATCAAAGGTGTAGAAATATTCTTCTTCCTCTTTTGGCGATCTGACAGAACCGTAACCTTTATACAAACAAGGGATACAAAACAACATATTCATAGTATCACTCATGTTAAAATCTCATAGCTAGATTGTTGGTCCAAAGCTATTGGCATTGGTATATAGGTTTCAGGAGGGGGCGTATGTAATCTATAATCTATTTTCCATCACAATGTTTATTTCTGCATTACCTATAATTAATTTTTACCTGCAGATATCTGAAGATTGCCTGACACTCAACGTGTTTGTTCCTGTTACCCCTGGCGTCAAAGCTGTAATGGTCTGGATTCATGGCGGAGGCTACTTCACTGGTGGAAGTTTTCACTATGATTTCACCGAATTCGGTAAGTCTACTTGATGACCGTGGTTTATAAAAACTTCTCTATGGCGGCTTTTCTGGGTCCGGTCTCTAAAGGATATCAAGACCGATGATTAATATTCAGTTTGCTTTGAACCAAGATAAATCAGTAGGTCTACCGGTCCTCTCCATACATCTGCATGGAGGCTTCATCAAAGTAAGCAACTTGTGAAAGTTCCTGAAAATCCATACACTGTTTGTTCTATTATATGTTTTCCACCTGTTCATTTTGCTTTGTTTTATTATTATTTTCACATTTTTTTCTCTCTTCTATTTTATAAGCTGCAAGAGGCGACATCATCGTTGTATCAGTAAATTATCGCCTGGGACCATTTGGTTTCCTGAGTATAGATGGCGCTAATAATGCAACTGGAAATCTGGGACTGTGGGATCAGATTGAGGGCCTGAAGTGGGTACAAGACAACATTGGAGCCTTTGGTGGTGACCCTAAAAAGTAAGTTTATCAGGAATGTGACTTGCTTAAACTGTGCGCCTGCTTCCCTCTCCCTTTGTTAAAATATCGGTTTGATTTTTTTTGCTTAGTCTTTTTGTTTCATTCGACACTTCCTGGGCTCTGTCCAAACCAGTTTGGCCATATATTTAGAAAATACATATAATATATGATGTTACATTTAATTTCATTGATATGTGTGTGGTATGCTGAGCACTGACACGTCCATGCAAAATATATTGCTTTATCTTACCTCAGTATGAGGAAATAAAGTAAATCTAGCCCAACCAATACCTTAGTATTACATATACAAGATAACGGCCCATAGATGCAATCAGTCAAAACACTGATAACGCATCGACGAACCCCGACGGAGCCTTAATTGTACCTCCATCAAAAATTTTATTCTGTTTCCAGGGTTACTATATTCGGAGAATCTGCCGGGGCTAGCAGTGTCTCTCAGCTTGCTCTTACCACAAAAGCCAAAGGCCTTTTTCGCCGTTTCATTCCTCAGAGCGGGTCCGTCTGGGCAGAGTGGGCGTGGACGACGGAAAAAGCTGCAACACTTTCTTTAAAGATAGGCGACATTATAGGCTGCCACGCCGGGGAGACAGAAAGGTCAAAACTCCTCGAATGTCTGCGGGAAACAACAGCTGATCGATTCCTAGACGCGAGTATCGTTGCTACCACAGGCGTCCCTGGGATCCTCCATTACAGCGGTGAGGTCGATGGCGATATGTTCCCTGAATCCTTATCAGACATGTTTAAAAACCCTGATTCAGAAGTCTCCCGGCACTTTCGTTCTCTGGACTGTTTGGGAGGTTTTACTGACGGAGATGGGGCCATATTGACCCATGACATCGATAACGGGATCACCCCTGCAGAGTTACGAGACAAGTACATCCCTGATTTGGCCAAGCAAGTGGCGCCTGGCCACGAAGCCGAAATTGAGAACGTTCTGATGAAGGAATACTACAATAGCGCAGCTAATCGATATGACACTGCTAACCGCTATGTCGACATCATGACAGACTGGGGGCAATTCTCACAGATAAACACTCAGCATCGGGTAATGGCTCTACATATCTGTACTACCTCACAAAGGTACCTTCATTTGGCTATGTTTTGAAATTCCCTCCTTGGTTCGATCGGTCAAACCACGCAGACGACCTTTCGTACCTCCTTGGTCCGGATCACCCTACAATGTTTGATGACGGCGTGGAGTTTGATAACGGAGACAAGAGGATTTCTTACGAAATGATGAAATATTGGGCGAACTTTGCTAAAACAGGGTGAGTAATAATCTTGTAATTCTGATGGTACGTATCCTATGACTCATAGTCTAGGGTTATGTTCTTCTTCTATTGCCTCTTTAATAGGTCAATTTTGTTGACTTTTAAGCATATCAGTTAGTGAGATATTTGTGTAATGAAGTAAGATAGGTCTGTTTAGATGATTCAAACGTTTTACAAACGAACATATTCCGCGCAAAGAAAGATGTATTTGTTTTTGCACTACCTTACAATTTAAGTACATGTAAACATCCTAACAGTTTTATGGGAGGTTGGGAAAGTTAAAATTTTATTTAGAAATTCAAACACACTTTCAGGTTGCATATGCATTCCACGCCTAATTATCTTAATTAAGTATAATTTTAATTCAATCAATATAGGAACCCTAATCTACCAGACCCGCCGGCCACAAACTGGCCACAATATACAGCAACCAGGAAAGAATACATCGAGTTAGGTGACGTCACCAAGTCTGCTTCTGACGTCATTCCAAGTCGATGGAAACTGTGGGTGACCACTATTCCGGATATCCAGGCTTCTCCCGTGCCTGCACTGGTCTCTGCAGCTGGCAGAATTCGTCCCCCATTCTACGGAATAATGGGGGGTATGATGTGTGCTTTGGTGGCACATGGCTTATATAAAGCATAAAAAAGGTTCACTGGACGTATATATGCGTTATTGCTGTAGTGGAACCCAGATTGACTAAATTTAACACTATTTTAGTATTTACAGTAAAGATGTTACTGAATGTGTTGTGTCGAATGAACTGATACATGTATATAATAATTATCAGCATCATAAATATACAAAAGGCACTCAAGTATCAATTAGTTATTTTTCTGATTGTATAACAGATTAATAAACTAATATTTTACTAAAAACATTAATTAACTACCATATTTGTAAAAACTCACCTTTATTGGAACGATAAAGACAAGTTGATTAATAATAAGGACATTTTGCTGTAATTCTGCCTATGGAATTTGTGTTTCTGACAAATCTTGTCTCTTTATCTCCAGCAATGTAGATTCAATCATGAAAAAAATGTTTAATAAACCTTTAAAAACTTAAGATTTGTTCGTCATGTGAACATTTTATGAACTGAAGCTTGTTGAAATAAATATTGAGATAAAATTTTGTGTGAAAAAAGGCGTGTGCTCTGTGCACATAGATGAAATTCATTAAACTAAAGGACTGTGGCAATGCTGGGCACTTGCTGTCATTGTGTCATTGAGCCTCGTCACAACCCTCACATCTTGAGATGCTCAACCGTTGCATTCAACTTGACGGTTCGTTTCCTAAAAATCGTCGTTCATTCTATGTGTGATGCTTATCAAAGTTGGCAAAGTTATCTTGTTTATAGAAAAATGTCAATTAAATAGATGAATACACGACAAAATTCTATATTCTTCACCCTGAACAAAACAGCAAGTTATTGGTAAAGAGCTTTCACCCATCCAACAGTCTACTGGTATCTCGTCCATTTCATTTATGGGCTCCAGAAGTAGATGGTATTCAACATGTTCACGTCATTTTTTTATATTCTGTTCTTGGATTGGACACTTTCAAGTGCCTTTCGGTCAGCTACTTGTAGTTATCTTCTTGAATGATTTTAAGTATCCACTCTCCCAGTATGATATGTATGAAGAAATTATTGCACTAAAATGGAGGATGATTCCTTTCTTACAATGAACTGAAGAAGCAAACTGGTCGTTTTCTTTAATTGAAGGTTACCCAGAATGATTAATATAATCATAAACAAATCTCCGAAGACACAAATCTGATTGAAGTTTTACATAAAACCTGCCCCTATATATTAATCTAACCCACTGACACGCACTTGAAGGTTTTATTATAGAGGTTTTATGACCACAGTGCAATCTGAAATTAGAAATTACGCCGGTAATAACGGCATAACAATGCTTTAAAAAACTCTTGAACAGGAAAAATAGTCAGTTTATCAAAGTTGAAACAATACGACGTTTTCCTGATGACAATGCATGTTATGATTAAGGTTTTATTACAGAGGTTTTATTACTCAAATGCAATCTGAAATTAGAAATTAGGCAGGTAATAAAAGCATAACAATGCTTTTTAAAATTCTTGAAAAGGAAAAACAGTGCTTTTATCGAAGTTAAAACAATACGTCGTTTTCCTGAGGACAATGCATGCCATGATTAAGGTTTTATTGCAGAGGTATTATTATGACTTAAGTGTCTATAGATACATGCAGTACTCACATTTTATGAGTTAACTGCTCTCAACTTCCGTGCAATATCTATGAGAGCGAAAATTATAATTTTGCAGCTCTTCTAGATATTTTGGTCTTTACTTCTCGGATTTTAGGACATAAACTTCGTCAGGAACGCTAATGAGATGGCTTTGTGGATTCGATACCTGCCTTTGCTTATTTTGTCAGTAACTATAGTAGACAGCCAGTTAGAGGTCAACATCACAACAGGAAGAATACGAGGTTTCAACAAAACAGTGAACGGGATAACTGTGAACGAATTTTTAGGTATTCCCTTTGCCAAGCAACCAGTTGGGAACCTTAGATTTGCAAAGCCCGAGCCTGCGAGCAGCTGGGCAGGGGTGAAAGACGCCACGGCGTACGGTCCAGCTTGCATGCAGAGACCCAACCCTTTTGGATTTCCTAATCCGAAGAAAGTAGGTTTAGTAACTTTATATTTAATGTTTAAAATTAATGAAAAACGAAAGTTCTTTTATGAAAATTAGCATGATCACGAAAGCAGAACAAACAGAAAGACCTACGCTTCGCCACAGATACAATGGAACTTATTGTAGTATTCATTGTTGAGATAAAATATGTGTTTAAATGGCGTTGATATATTTTCTGGTGAGTTTGGTCTGTTTATAAGCGATATTACAGTGCTTACCCCCCCCCCCAAAAAAAAAAAAAAAAAAAAAAAAAACGCAGCTGTTACAACATAAGCTCGACTTAACAAATTCTTCATTTTTGATGGGACAGCATAATTATATCACATCAAAATCAAATCACAATGTTTATTTCTGCATTACCTGTAATTAATTCACTTCAGATATCTGAAGATTGCCTGACACTCAACGTTTTTGTTCCTGATACCCCTGGCGTCAAAGCTGTAATGGTCTGGATTCATGGCGGAGGCTACTTCACTGGCGGAAGTTTTCACTATGATTTCACCGAATTCGGTAGGTCCTTTGGGCAGTTCTGGTGATCCGAGGCGCCTATTTGTTCGTGCTTAAAATTTCATAACCTGCAAAATGTTAGACGTGGGTAGTCTTTCCACTGATTCGAGATTTTGCCCAACTTTGCAAGTTGTAAATTTGTAAATAAATATTCATTTACTGTTTGGAATCATTGTGGTGCAATTAAGTTAATTCATTATGGTCGCCAACTGTCAAAGAAATTGCATTTTAGATTAAGTAAGCTGAAAACATTTAACTTGAAATAGATGATATTTTTCATGCTATTGTATTTCTCTAAGTTAAATGATAAGAACGAAAACGAAGAGAAAAATGGAAAGAAAATATAAGAAAGAAAGAAAAGTGAATATCAAATATGAAATCAAATTCACAGATTCAGTGTATATTTTCTATCATTGTGATAAGCTGCAAGAGGCGACATCATCGTTGTATCAGTAAATTATCGCCTGGGACCATTTGGTTTCCTGAGTATAGATGGCGCTAATAATGCAACTGGAAATCTGGGACTGTGGGATCAGATTGAGGGACTGAAGTGGGTACAAGACAACATTGGAGCCTTTGGTGGTGACCCTAAAAAGTAAGTTTATTTGGAATATTTACTTTCACATTACCTACCTGCCCACCTGTCCGTCTGTTAAAATGACAAGTTCGATATCTCCCACAACTACTTTACCGTTTCAGACCCGTGTGCTAATAAACAAAATTTGATTTTTTGCTTATCCTCTCAGAGGGTGAAACAAATCTTACAGTAACGCTCACTTCACTTTCTTTGGTTGACAATTTTTGACTAACTTTACAAAATCTGTACCCTCGGTTTGTGCCCCTTCTTATATAATGGGATCATAAGTTCTACTTGAAGCACACGCAATAACTTTTTAAATCTCTTTTTTTTTTCAGCGTTACTATATTCGGAGAATCTTCCGGGGGTAGCAGTGTCTCTCAGCTTGCTCTTACCACAAAAGCTAAGGGCCTGTTTCAGCGTTTCATTCTTCAGAGTGGGTCCTCCTGGGCAGACTGGGCGTGGTCGACGGAAAAAGCTGAAACACTTTCTTTAAGGATTGGCGATATTATAGGCTGCCATGCTGGGCCAACCGAGAGATCAAAACTCCTCGACTGTCTGCGGGGAACAACAGCTGAACGATTCCTAGACGCGAGCATCATTGCTACCATAGGTGTCCCTGGGGCCCTTCATTATAGCGTCGAGGTCGATGGCGATATGTTCCCAGAATCTGTATCAGACATGTTTAAAAACCATGATTCAGAAGTCATACAGCACTTTCGTTCTCTGGACTGTTTGGCAGGTTTCAATGACGGAGATGGGGCGATATTGACCCATGACATCGATAACGGTATCACCCCTGCAGAGTTACGAGATAAGTTCATTCCTGATGTGGCAAAACAAGTCGCACCTGGCCACGAAGCCGAGATTGAGAACGTTCTGATGAAGGAATACTACAACAGCACAGCTAATCGATATGACACTGCTAACCGTTACGTCGACATCATGACGGACTGGGCGTTAGCAGGACCGGTGGCAATTCTGACAGATAAACACGCGTCATCGGGTAATGGCTCTACATATCTGTACTACCTCACAAAGGTACCTTCATTTGGCTATGTTTTGAAATTCCCTCCTTGGTTCGATCGGTCAAACCACGGAGACGACCTTTCTTACCTCCTTGGTCCGGATCACCCAACTATGTTTGATGACGGCGTGGAGTTTGATGACGGAGACAAGAGGATTTCTTATGAAATGATGAAGTATTGGGCAAACTTTGCTAAAACAGGGTAAGTATAGATATGATAAATCTGATGGTATCACCATATGTCATAGTCTAATGTTATTCTTCTGCTGCTTCTTTTAAGAAGCTTTTAAAATAAGACAACTCTTTTGACTTGTATACATTACGCATATCAGTAAGTGAAATATTTGTGTAATAAAATACGATAGATCTGTTTAAATGTATCCAGATACAAACGTTTAATTATCAGAAATATTTAGTTAAATCAAGAGAAAGATCTATGTGTTATTGCACTACTTTTTAATTTAACTACATGCAAACATCGTAACAGACTTATGTGATGTTGGGAAAGTTAAGTTATATAGCTATTTAAACACCAGATTAAACTATAAGGTCGCATATGCATTCCACGCCTTTATGTTACTTATCCAGTATAATTTCAATTTAATCAATATAGGAATCCGAATATACCAGACCAGCCGTCCACAAACTGGCCGCAATACACAGCAACCGGGAAAGAATACATCGAGTTAAGTGACGTCACCAAGTCTGATTCTGGCGTCATTCCCAGTCGATGGAAGCTGTGGGTGACCACCATTCCGGGGATCCAGGCTTCTACCGTCTCTGCAGCTGGTGGCATTCGTCCCCCATTCTACGTCATAGTGGCGGGTATAATGTGGGCTTTGATAACACGTCCCTAATAAAACATATAGAAAAGGTTCATATAACGTACACTTCTTGGTACACTAAAATCTATTTCAGTATTCAGACAATATTCAGAGTAGGAACAGAGTGAAATTAGTGTGTTGAATAATTAGTTTTACAACGTTTCAATCAACTATGAGCACGATGAATATACGAGGGCCATGAAGGACACAAGGGTCATTTGGAAGATAACACTTACACGCGTTACCCTCTTCAAAAAAAGTATAAGATTGTTAAAATTATTATTTCAGAATCGTTATTATTATGCAAAAGGTGATTTTTGCCTTGTTGTTTAACAGAATTATAATCTTATTATTGAATTTATTGGTCAGTTCTCGGGAACAGTAACTTTAATTCGCCAACTAACTTGTTTTGCCTGGTTATTAAGATGCCAGATGCACATTTTTCTTTTTTATCATTGCAAATTTGTAATTAATACATGTATATTATTCGAAAGTTTCTTCTGGAGACGGTTTGTCTTCTATCTCATAATTTTGTACGAGTTTAATCATGCAATAAAATAATTGTCTTAGTGGATTATCTCATGGATAATTTTGGAGTGTAGCGCGTGTTAAAATTCATACTGAAGTCACCTTTGTAGGAAAAAAAGCCATGTGCCTCGTAAACGCAGATGAACTGATATCCACGTACAACTTTAAAAGTTGTTCACTTGCAGCCAATGTGTTAGTTGAGTTTTAACTCAGATAATGCACCAGGACGCGACAATTGTGACTTAAAAGTCCCAATTGTCTCATCCTGGTGCATTAACTGGTCCACCGATTTTAGAATCGTTGTTTGTAGTATGGAGCTAACCAGCACTGGCAAAGCTAGCTTGTGTAATAGGGTTACAAAATGTCAGTACAGTATTACGTAAAGCATTCCCGCCTATTTGGCAGTCACAAGAGCGGGTAGTATAAAGTTACCGCTCAATACTATTCTTTGTAAGTCACGTGTCACGTCTTTTGGCAGTCACGTGAGCGGGTAGTATAAAGTTCCCGCTCAGTACTATTCTTTGTAAGTCACGTGTCAGGTCTTTTAGCAGTCACGTGAGCGGGTAGTATAAAGTTCCCGCTCAGTACTATTCTTTGTAAGTCACGTGTCAGGTCTTTTAGCAGTCACGTGAGCGGGTAGTATAAAATCACCGCTCAACACTATTCTTTGTCAGTGTTCGCAATTCCACGTGAGTGTACATGTGTAAGTATACAGGACTGAGGAAGGAATAAAGAGGCTGATCCTTATGAAATATGGTCGATTTTTTTATGTGTTACTCGGCTACACTTGAATTCAGTGATTAGTATCGTACGTGGATAAATATAATTTAGTAATTTGCTGCATTAAATGGCTTACAACTAAAAAACTAGCATATGCATTTCATTCAAAACTTAAATTGAAGAATGAAATTACTAATGTTTAGAGACATTTTGTGTAAAATATCATTATTTGGGGGTTTTGCCGTCCATTCTGTATTTAATAGATGATCGTAAGAAAAGTACAAAAAGTACAGGAAACCCTGTCTACATGTTTCTTGGGCACAAATAATGTGATAATAGTGACTGAAGTTGGACATTTCGTAATTATCAAATGACATGACAATTATTCTTCCCAGATGGAGATTGCATGTATTCACATTTTATGTCATAATTTGACTGAAATTATAGCCATGATCAAAGGTTTTTCAAGGGTGTACTTTTCTATGGGAATTGTAGGTCTATTTACAAAATATTTGGTTTCTTATGCAAGGAACTTTTTACTTTAAATATTTGATTTGAAGATTTTCAGCAAATGCGCTTAGGTTATGAAAACACTGTTGCAATTATGTAAGAATAAATCTATATTGGGGGGATTATTGCCTAAACAATTAGCATGTTTGAATTAAAGCTGTGAAAATCTTTGACCTTAAAAGTCTTCACTTTAAACAATGATCCCATAAGAGGTATTAATATTATTTAATGCCAAATAATTAATTATATATTAACAAGTATTACATTGTATTTGATATCTTTTAAGATTAAAATAACACTGGATTATCTACATTACCAAGGCGGAAACTTCGTTTTAATTGTCTTTTATCTATTAAGAACAGTTCATCTCTAAAATTCATTATCTCAAGTTAGAAACTGTAGTTAGTGAGAATGGCATGACAACACTTTCAAAACCGAAAAACAATTTTTATCGTGTTATGAATGGTTTTTGGAGGAGAATGTAGAACACGATTTAGTACTAGTCATATCTGGGATAGTTTGATCATAGTTCTTATAGATACTTGAATCCCCGTCACATGAGTAAACCGTTGCCAACATCCTCCTAATACTGACGACAGCGACAGCTATAAATTTGCAGCTCTTCTGTGCATTTTGGTTTAAACTCGTGAACTTCTTTGGGTGTCAACTTCCGACGATACTTTCATAAAATGGCTTGGTGGATTCGATACCTGTCTTTGCTTATTTTGTCAGTCACTGTAGTAGACAGCCAGTTAGAAGTCACCATCAGCACCGGTAGAATACGAGGTTTCAACAAAACAGTGAGCGGGATAACCGTGAACGAATTTTTGGGAATTCCCTTTGCCAAGCCTCCAGTTGGGAACCTTAGATTTGCAAAGCCCCAGCCTGCGAGCCGCTGGGCAGGAGTGAAAGACGCCACAGAGTACGGTCCAGCTTGCATGCAGAGACCCAATCCTTATGGGTTTCCTAATCCGAAAAAAGTAGGTAGACAAAGTTTACATACTACAGTAAAAATATTTATGGTTAATTTCCCTCAAAAGGAAAAGCGCACTTTGAGATTTTAAGTTTGAATTCAAATTAAATGTGTGAAATTTAATATTTTCGTTTTTTCAGGCAGGACCATAAAGTTTTTTGCCTTTGTATAAGAAGGTTCGTTATGTAAGAGAGGCCTATATTTGACAAAGAAAAAACTTTCCCGTTTTTTTATCGTAAAATATTTCTCTTATATTCAGCGCTATAAATATAAACAATTTCAGTGCACATTGTCTATTTATGTCGTTTTCTTCACCGCCTCAAGCGCTTCTGCTTCTGTTCAGGTGAGGGAGATTTGTTTGAAAAAAATACCACAAAAACGCCAGCTACGGCGAATTTTTGATGCTACAACATTCTTAAGTAATATGACAATGCTTTTTGCAGCACTATCTAAGCGGAAATGGAAAAATTCCTAACCTTCGGAACTCTGTGGCATCTCATAAATTGTTGCCCCACGGCTAGTGGCACTATGCGTGGGGCGTATGTATTATTATAACGTATTTTCCACTGCAGATATCTGAAGACTGCCTGACACTCAACGTGTTTGTTCCTGATACCCTTGGCGTCAAGGCTGTAATGTTCTGGATTCATGGCGGAGGCTACTTCACTGGCGGAAGTTTTCACTATGATTTCACAGAATTTGGTAGGTCCTTTACAATCCTTGTAAACCAAGATGGCTTTCTCTCTTGGTGAAAATCTCGTAATTTTGTGATTCGGAGTCTCCTGGAACCTAAGAGTGAATTTAGCTTTGTTGACTCTTCGCCCCGTGGGCAACTTTAAATATCTAAGAGAAATATGAAATCTTTCATGTGAACTAACGCCCAATATCAATGCACAGTATTATTTGCTTCTAAATGACTTCTTTTAGTCACACAATTAAAGGGAACGGATGGGAAGGAAAACGGGAAAGTGAAATGTGAAGAAAAATAAGAAAGAAAGTAATTGTTCTAATTTAGATATATATTGTATAAATTCTGTAATTTCATAAGCTGCAAGAGGCGACGTCATCGTTGTATCAGTAAATTATCGCCTGGGACCATTTGGTTTCCTGAGTATAGATGGCACTAATGCACCTGGAAATCTGGGACTGTGGGATCAGATTGAGGGACTGAAGTGGGTACAAGACAACATTGGAGCCTTTGGTGGTGACCCTAAAAAGTAAGTTTATTAGGAATGTTTACTTTCACATTACCTACCTGCCCACCTGTCCGTCTGTTAAAATGACAAGTTCGATATCTCTCTCAACATCTTCGCCGGTTTCAAACCTGTGTGTTAATAAATGAAATTTGAATTTCTGCTTATCCTCTCAGAAGGCAATAATTAATTAATTAATTGATTGATTAATTGATTGATTGATTTTTTTAGTTGGTTAATTAATCAAAAAAACTCCAACAGTAACGCTCTCTTCACTCTCTCTTGTGAATATCTGAACCATGTTTCTTTTATAATGTGATCATAAATTCTACTTGAGGCGCATATGTTATAACTTTTTTAATTGGAATCTTTTTTTCAGCGTTACTATATTCGGAGAATCTGCTGGGGGTAGTAGTGCCTCTCAGCTTGCTCTTACCACAAAAGCCAAAGGCTTGTTTCAGCGCTTCATTCCTCAAAGCGGCGGACCAGGGGCATATTGGGCGTGGTCGACGGAAAAAGCTGCAACACTTTCTGTAAGGATTGGCGACATTCTAGGCTGCCACGCCGGGGAGACAGAGAGGTCAAAACTCCTCGACTGTCTACGGAAAAACACAGCTGACCGATTCCTAGACGCAAGCATCGTTGCTACCATAGGTGTCTCTGGGGCCCTTCATTATAGCGCCGAGGTCGATGGCGATATGTTCCCAGAATCCGTATCAGACATGTTTAAAAATCCTGATTCAGAAGTGATGCGACACTTTCGTTCTCTGGACTGTTTAGGAGGTTTCACTGACGGAGACGGGGCAATATTAACGCATGACATCGATAACGGGATCACCCCTGCAGAGTTACGAGACAAGTTCATCCCTGACGTGGCCAAACAAGTCGCACCTGGCCACGAAGCCGAGATTGAGAGAGTTCTGGTGAAGGAATACTACAACAGCACAGCTAATCGATATGACACTGCTAACCGCTACGTTGACATCGTGACAGACTGGGCGTTAGCAGGTCCGGTGGCAATTCTGACAGATAAACACGTATCACCTGGTGGTGGCTCTACATATCTGTACTACCTCACAAAGGTACCTTCATATGGCTATGTTTTGAAAACCCCTCCTTGGTTCGATCGGTCAAACCACGCAGACGACCTTTCGTACCTCCTTGGTCCGGATCACCCAACTATGTTTGATGACGGCGTGGAGTTTGATGACGGAGACAAGAGGATTTCTTATGAAATTATGAAGTATTGGGCAAACTTTGCTAAAACAGGGTGAGTATAGATATGATAATTCTGGCGTTACAACAAGTATAATGTATAGTTGAATTTATTTTTCTATGACGGTAGGGAGAAACATACAGCTACATTGATATATCTCAGTTGCCAAGAGGTGTTTGCAAAAACCGTTATACTAGTTCGCCAATTCATATCTCGATTACGAAACAAAGAACCTGAAAACGAGATTAAGAAAGTAACATTCTCAATAGGCCTAACATTCAATAAACCTGGGTGGTAAAAGAAAACTGCTGGAATTTCCAGGAATTAGTTTTTCTATATACAGTTCTAACATTCACTGTATGTTGATGCCTTGCACTAATACAGAATAGTTTTCATTTGTTTAATAAAGGGATCCTAACAAACCAGACCCGCCGTCCACAAACTGGCCACAATATACAGCAACCGGGAAAGAATACATCGAGTTAGGTGACGTCACCAAGTCTGCTTCTGACGTCATTCCCAGTCGATGGAAACTGTGGGTGACCACTATTCCTGAGATCCAGGACTCTCCTGTGCCTGCACTGGTCTCTGCAGCTGGCGGCATTCGTCCCCCATTCTACGTCATAATGGGGGGTATGATGTGGGCCTTGATGACTCGTGTCTAAACTAAAACATAGAAAAGGTGCACTTTACCTTAAAGGCATAATAACTCTTTGTATGAGACCTATATTTCACAATAAAAACCTTGTGAATAACTCACAGAAATATAATATATTCTGTTTTACAACAAAAACAGCAGCTATAGCTTTTATTCTGATATTTGAACTTGTCTTTAGACCACGTGACCTCCATTGATGTCTATACTTTGTTAAAATCTCTTAAGAGATTTTAACAAAAAACCAAACTTTTTAGAAAAAAACCAGGGACTAACTTTGAATGTAAAAATGGATTCATTAACCATTGGTAAGTATGGGAAAATTGTTGTTTACTCCAGGAAAATTCATTTTTTGGCCGAAACGAAGAGTTATTATTGCTTTAATCTTTCTGCTGTTGATCACACCACTGGAACCAAGATTGACTAAATTTAAAACTATTTTAGTATTTACAGTATAGATGTTACTGAACGGATTCTGTTCTTGACGTGTCGAATTAGTTAATATATGTATGCAATAATTATCAACATCATAAATGTACAAAAGGTACAGTTAACTGTCAGTTAATTACTTTTCTTATTGCAGAACAGGTTCATAAACTAATAACTAACTATAAACATAAATTAACTACCATATTTGTACAAACTCACCATGGAAGCTTTAAAGAAAAGTTGATAATAAGGACATTTTTGCTGTAATTCTGCCTACGGAATTACTGCATTCGTCATGTTTGTGACAAATCTAATCTCTAAATCTCCTATCCAGCATTGTAGTTGTTAATATGTGGTTTCATCATGAGATAAAACAACTGGTTCAATAAACCTTTAAAAACTAAAAATGCGTTCGTCATGTAAGTATTATATGAATTGAAGCTTGTGGAAATATATATTGAGATAAATTTTGTGTGAGAAAAGGCGTGTGCTCGGTGCACATAGATGAAATTCATTAAACTAAAGGACCGCGACAATGCTGGGAACTTACTGCCATTGTGGTAGTTGAGCCTTGTCCACAATCGTCACATCTTGAGATACTTGCTCAACCAATGCATTCAACCTGACGGTTCGTTTCATGAAAATCATCGTTCATTCTATGTGTGATGCAAACCATATTTGGCAAAGTTATCTTGTATATAGAAAAGTGTAAATTACATAGATGGATACAGAATTCCATAATTTTCCCCCCTAACAAAAACAGACTTCCACCCATCCCACAGTCTACTGGCATCTCGCCCATCTCATTTATGGGTTCCAGAAGTAGATGGTATTCAATATGCTCACGTCCTTTTTATATTCTGTTCTCGGATTGAATACTTTCGAGTATCTTTCGGCTACGTACTTGTATTGGTGCATACATAACAGTCGTTATTTACGTGAATGATTTTAAGTATAGATAGCAGTCCGCACTCCCTGTATGATCAGAAGTGTGTCAAATTTCTTGCACCAAAATACAGGATGATTCCTTTCTTACGACGAACTGAAGAAGCAAACTGGTCGTTATTCTTTAATTAAAGGTTAACAAATGAGACGTTGCGTTCTGCTAGTCCATAGTCCACATTCACCATATCGTATTTAATGACCTTAAACAAAAGTTCAGCTTCTCAGGGCCTGTAACGTGCACACGGTTTTCGTCTGCCACTGCATTAAGATGGAGTCCCGGGTATCGCGTCTGTCTCTGTTAGTAGTTCTGGTCAACGCATTGGCCAAAGTGGACGCTCAAACAACTGTCACCATTAACACGGGTACAATACAGGGATTCTCAAGTACAGTGGACGGGATAAGAGTGAATACGTTTTTGGGAATTCCGTTTGCCAAGCCACCGGTCGGTGACCTCAGATTCGCGAAGCCACAGCCACCGGCGAGTTGGACGGGGGTTAAACAGACCGTTAAATATGGACCGTCCTGCATGCAAAGACCCAACGAATTCGGCTTTCCCAATGCAACACAGGTAATTAAAAATCTATCATATCAACTGAAAATATGTCTAATATTAATTCTCAGCACCTTAAACACATTTTTCATTTGTTTCAGTTCAATTTTGCATCGGCTTTTGGACACAATAATCATTGGGATAAATCCCATTTGTCTTTTGGCATTTATATTTTTTCACAATACATTGTTTATACAACTTCAGCTTTATTTTGGAATATAAACATCAATTATACCATTTTAAACTGACACTTTCTTCAGTCTAGCTGGCATCAACTTTTCTGTTTCATAAAAAAATTAAGCATGTGAGAAAAGAACATCTGCGCTAAATCAAAATTATCAAACCGGTGAGCCTATTTCAACAAAACTCGACTTATCTGACGAAACAACAACAACATGCTACATTATATCAAGGACAGAATGCATCCTTGCAGGGACGGTATTTTTGGCTCTGTTTTAACACTTCTTACTCACTGAAAATGTGTGCTCAAGAGATGTACATACGAAGTACTTCTAAAAACGTCTTAAATATTTATCTTAACCGGCATTTCTGGATTTTTCAGGGTAAGGCAGTGTTTTCAATGCCTTGCTTCTCAACCTCTTCCAACATTAAAATCCTCTAAACAGAAAAAAAATTAAACTATGATAGATGGACATTCAAAGGAGGAAAATGATATTTATATTCCACTTAAACTCACAATAGGATGTTTATAATACAAATGCATGCCATGTATCAATCTCTTTCAAGTGTCAAAATTATTTTCATGTATTTTAAAAAATTCTTTCCGACCGAGAGGCAAGTGTTTAAAAAAATCTGCCTAATAAAGTTTATATTCGGCAACTGATAAATTACAGTAATGACGGTCACAAAATCACTGTCAGTGAAGTATGTAAATTCTGCCTCTATAACTACTAGTACGTACAACATTAGACCTGCGGTGTTTGAGACTTTAAGGACAGGAGATAAAGTAAAGCAGAACGCGGCTATAGGGTTAAATCTTAAGACATTGGCGTGACCCGCCAGTCGACCTGATTGGTTTACTTTTCTCTCTGTGTAAATATGTATATTTACAAGTGATGCTCATTCACAATGATAAAAAGTTGTCATCATTTTCAAAGCTGACAGTGGATAAAAAATGGGCTCCAAAGGCTAGTGGCAGTTGTCAGGCCCATATATACTGTACTTTACATGACGGTTAATATCGAAACAAGGAATATTAATTTTTATCCAGCGACCAAAATCTGATCGATTTTCAGCCAATTAACCTACCTCTAAACCGTCTAGAAATATTTATCCATCTTTATAATTTTTTTTAGTTTTGTCTTTTCACTGACAAACCAACAAAGGCAAAACATGCATGACCTCCCAGGCGAAGGAAGTATTCCTTGAAAAATGTGATGAAACGACATAATCTTTCCAGAAATAAAGCAAAATCCTGGTGGTTTTCTGCTTTAAATGCGGCTCCAACATGTATTTACCAAAATGGCGCCAAACATTAATTTTCCATTGATGTGAGAAGTGAAAACATAAAACAGTTTTGTCTAATAAGTGATCTAAAGTCTGCTTCAAACACTAAGCCATGACAAAGCCGTATTCTTAGCTTACGTAATTATATCCTTTTCCTTTTCTGTAATATACAGGTATCTGAAGACTGTCTGACTCTGAATGTGTTTGCTCCTAATACAACTGGTGTCAAGGCCGTCATGGTGTTCATTCACGGGGGAGGATATTATTTTGGAGGCACCTTTCACTATGATTACACTGAATTTGGTGAGTCAAATTGATACGGGACATAGCGATTAATATGTATAGATATATATGAATAACCCAGTATATTTAAGATTCGATTTTCTTAAGATAGTTGAAGTCATGCATGCACATTTACATATATAAGTTAAGCTTTGAGACCTTATTTTGGGGCCTTGCATATAGGCCTACCTAAGTTTTATCAAAGTAAGCAAATGGTGATTCAGTTCGTGAAAAATCCATACACTTTATGTTTTATTATTTTTCTATTTTTTTACTTTGCTTTCTTTTATAACTATATCATAATTTTCTCTGTTCTATTCCATAAGCTGCTAGAGGCAACATCATCGTTGTAACAGTAAATTATCGTCTGGGAGCATTTGGTTTCTTGAGTATAGATGGCGCTAATGCACCTGGAAATCTAGGACTGTGGGATCAGATTGAGGGACTAAAATGGGTGAAAGCCAACATAAAAATCTTCAATGGCGACCCGCAACGGTGAGAATTTCTTATAGCGACAGCTGCACATCCCAACATTATTTTAATAATAAGTTAAAACTTATTTGTAGTTTTTGATTCCTTTTATGTGCCTGAAGTACCACATTACTATAAACTTGAGTTTAAATGACCACAGTAACCAAGTCTGCCCTTTGGTTCAATTAACGTCCTAAAAATGCTGATAATAAAGGAATAAGAAAACAGTGTCGTCAAAGTGAGTAGCGCGACGGTGCTATAAACACACGTTTGAATGCTTTGATGTGTTTTTAATCGCCAAACGCAATGTCTAAAGCTAGTGCCAATGGTCGAAGTGTGTGACACGTACTGTAGTCAAACCATCCGATTTACTCTGAGATCCAGCTATAGGCCCTACTTTTCGGCTTGGGGCCCATATGGTCACGGCAAACAGCGTTGTGCCCATATGGGACGCTGCGGGCCAGCTTGAAGCTCCCATGCACGGTGTCAAGGTGCACCTTAATTGACAAGGACGGCAGATGTTTAATGTACGCCTAGTTATATCTCAAGTACAAACTGTTGAAAGATGGTTTTTTGTGCATAATAGTACAATTGGTTATTTTCTTTATTCCAGTGTTACCATATTCGGAGAGTCGGCCGGTGGAGGTAGTGTCACTCAGCTTGCCCTTACCGCCGCCGCCAGGGGTCTCTTCCAGCGGTTCATTCCTCACAGCGGCTCAGCCTGGGCAGACTGGGCGTGGTCGACAAGATCTCCAGAACTCTCCATGAAGATCGGCAAGATCGTCGGCTGCAACGTCGGGCCAGCAGAAAGGGCAGAACTTCTGGCTTGCCTGCGCAAAACAGACGCTGAAGCGTACCTAAACGCCAGCTTTGAAGCTACCGTAGGCGTACCAGGGCTGTTGTTTTATTGCCCTGAGGTCGATGGTGATATGTTCCCGAAATCTCTCTCTGACGTATTCAAAAATGCCGATTCAGATGTTGTCAGACACTTCCGTTCTCTAGACTATATGGGCGGGTTCAATGACGGAGATGGGGCCATTTTGACACCCCCTACCGCCACGAACGGCATGAGTCCGGCAGATTTGAGGGACAAGTGGATCCCACTGAAGGCCAAAGATATATCTCCCGAACACGAAGCCAAAATAGCAGAGGTGTTGACAGAGGAGTACTACGACAGTTCTGCCGATGCCATAACCACCGCCCGCCGCTACGCTGATATCCTCACGGATTGGTTGTTCACAGGGGCGATGGGAAGCGCTACAGCGGCGCATGCGTCACCGACCGGTGGCTCCACCTATCTTTACTACTTCACAAAGGTACCATCGTTTGGCTACGTCGTGTCTCCAATGCCCCCTTGGTTTCGGCGGTCGAACCACGCAGACGATCTTTCGTTCCTTATGGGCGCGCATCATCCCACAATGGTACCGAACGCCACTTTCACCGACGAGGAGAAAGAGTTCTCGAAGAAGATGATGACGTATTGGGCGAACTTTGCGAAAACGGGGTATGACAGTCATTTTATTTCGATTTAGTATAAAAAATATTTTTAAAATGCTGGGGATTCGATATACACACACTGGACAAAAGAAGTGTCACCCCTACTGAGCCAATACTATGGGGGAGATAAATGACTGTGGAATGATATGCTCCTGGTATCATTTTATTAACATCAAATTTCCCAAAAAATCACAAAATGAGAACAAAATATACATTCTACAAAAATATGTAGTTTCAAGTCCAAAATTAGTACTTAGTGGCATAGCCACGTGACCTAATAATAGGTGCCAATCTACGAAGCAAGGATTCATTTAATTGTCTGATGCGTTCAGGGCTTATGCTGGCCCAAGCATGAAACACTGAATATAACAGAGTTTCTCTGCTGGTTAGACGGGCATTTGTTAGAAGTTTTGACATATCATTCCACACATTTTCTATTTTGTTTGTATCCGGACTCTGGGCAGGCCACATCACCCTGCGAATGTCCTGTTGGTCAAACCAATCATCAACTGCTCTGGGCCTGTGACAAGGAGCATTGTCATTCTGGTGAACAG